TACTCTCGTTCTCTAAACCTGTTTATTTAGCTTAATGGGCATCTTCTTATCGCACGATGCGCTGCTGTCCTTTCTCTATTTGAGTCATGCTTCTCAGTTAGTCGCGTATTTCCCCATCTTTGTGAATGACGGAACCAAGATACTTAGATTGTTGGGTCTGAGGCAGCATACCTGCCACCTGCTTTCATTGATTTGTTTGATTTCCCGTGTTCTCTTAACTGAAATGGCCCGTCATGCTTTCCGATTTACCTCTGCTGAGCCGAAGGCTGTTCTTCTCAAGGACTCCTCTGTATGCTTCTGTTTTTGCTTCTCTGCTTTCGCTGCTCAGTACTACGTTATCTGCATAGAGCATGAGACTACTTCCTGCAGATCTTTAGTTATCCGGTTTGCCGCTATCGAAAACAGAAGTTAGCTCAGTGCTGAACTTTGATAGACTCTTACCAGCACAGTGAACTTTTCTGTTTCTCCTGAACAACTATCGTTGTCACTATCGTACATGTCTTTTGTTAGCCTACGTGTTTTTCTGGCATCAACAAATTATCTGCTTGTTTTCGGTCAGAAGTTTTCTCCAAGTCTAGGAACATCATTTGATTGCCGTTGTTGCTTTCCGTTGTTTCGACAACTCATTAACATGTCTTTCTGCGTATAGTTAATATTTATAAGCTTTTGTTTAAAACCAGTTCCTCGCTTACCAGGAAACTTTCTTTCGAATAATATCGATCACTTTTAAAGAGTGCTTTGGGCACTTATGAAATATTAATCCATCATTCGCTTCAGCTGTTTACCTTTTGAGATATTAATCGAACTGGTGCGCTTCCCGTTGTTTAAAATTTGTTTACGAGAGCACGTCAGTTTGCCGAACAAAATTCTTTCCACTGTATTGTGGTGCTTGTCAACAAGTCTGAGGCCTTAGGGTTCATGTTTTTAAATTTAAGTGACTTCCTGTATCTAGAGCAACGCTCCCAATGTTTGTTTGGCGCTAAAATTTCTGGAATTAAATTTTAGCTCAATATTATCCATTTAAAATCGGTATCTTTGCGTTTAAGATCAGAAATTGTGTTAAACGATAACTTAATGGAAAATCTGTCATTAGATGACTGTTATTCACAAATGAACGATATCTAAAATTGTGCATGTGAAAGTTGTCAAATGAGGAAAGAGGCCTCTGTAATTTTACGAATTAAAAATTTTTTAATTTAACATATACTTCAACATACTTTGAACGTTTTTAAAATTTTTTGAAGCAACATATGCTGGAGATATATCAACTGCTGAAGCAACGAGAGTACCTCGCTTTCTTTCACATTCGATTGATGCTACAGAATGAACCAGTTGTGCCTCCCATATGAACTTCCGGGAGGAGAAAGATCTTGTTGACATATATCCGGACTGTTTTTTCGTAACGTATTTTCTGTAACAGCGGTTTACTGTACGATTCAGTTTCCTGCCGATTTTGTGATCCTTGATGAACCCGCACAACTTCATGTCGTTGTTTATATCACATAGCTTTTGGGTTGCTTTCTCCTGTTCTTCTCAATGACTGTATCAGCATTAGGCCCCGTTACCTACCTTAGTTTTTGAACTTTAGCTCCTTCTTTGCATTATTAATAGATTTTCTAAATTTTTTTATATCCACATTAACACAGGGTACTCGTGTGTACTTTCTTGAGCGCAAACTGAATTTTTATCTGGACTCGCTGAACGATGAAAATTCTAGATTACGTGTTCCCAGAAAGAAAGTCGCCGACGTATTTAAACTGTCATCCTTGCTTCGAATGGATTCTTGTGCCAAAGCGAGTGCCGACTTTTTGGTACAGGACCTCAACGTCAGCAACTGTATCGGTAAGTTTTGTTTGCTGTATGTAAACAGATCATTAGTCGCCCATTATCTGCACTTGAATTGTTGCGCTAACCTGCTGTGACCTCTGGCGATTGCAGCTGTTCTGTAATAGTTGACTCGTTCGTCACGTTGGCAACATCTAGAATGCCGACAAGAAGGCAACAGCGAACTCCGTTACTTTCAGCTGGTGCAGAGGTACAGTGAACCGATTTCAGATTCACCACCTAATCAAATACGGTGTTTCTACGATGGCCAGTGATGTCAGTGAAGGGCTTTCTGCTGAATTTGGTATCGGGCCTGTTTCGGATGAAGTCTTTGATGCTGATGAGCACCTAAATCTTGATGCAGATTAGCTGAATGTGGCCTGCTCTGAGGTGAAAAGAAAGGTAGTCTGAGAGTCTCGAACGACATGTTTGGACACCCTCTTACCCAAAATAAAGAATTCTTCGGCGATGAAGTGAGTACTTTGAGGAACTCCTTAACCATAAGCAACGGCAGTAAGACGCGCCTGTATAACAGCAGGTAACGGATATTATTGTTTCTGTAGATTAAATTACAGAAGCTGCGATAAGGTTGAAAAGTGGAAAGGCTGCTGGAATTTATGAAATATGTCCTGAAATGCTCAAAACATTAGGTGAACAAGGCATGTGCTGGCTTACACGTGTCTGTCGAACTGCACTGATTACGGGAAGACACCAACGGTCTTGAGCACGGGAGTTGTACCCATAGTTAAAAAGGGAGTGCTCCATTCATCGGGGCATCAGCTTTTTAAACCCGCCGGATATTGCCGCAAAGGTGCTAGAAAGTGCGACGGAATAACTGGCTCTAAGATACAAGAAGAGCAGTGTGGCTTTCGGCCCTGTCGAAGCATCTCTCGTCATATATTGTCCTACGACAGATTGTTGAGAAATCGTGGGAGCTCGCCCATCTGGTGTGCAAGTTGACTTACAGAAAGCCTTTAACCGAATCCCGCACAACAATCTATGGGATGCCTGCGAATATATGGGATCGATGGCCAGTTGCTACGGGCCATCGAATCACTATATGCTAATTGTAGGTGCTGCATCAGAGTAAATGGCGTTAAGTTGAAACCTTTCAACGTTGACACTGGTCTCCACCAAGGCTGCGTTCTGTCCCCTCTCATATTTGTGTTGCGCATGGATAGAACGAATCAGTGGACATAATGTGGAGACGAAAAGGCTGATGTTTGAGAACGACTTTGTTTTATTGGCATCTTCTGAAACTGACTTACAGTACTGTCTGGAGAGGTTCATAGCCGAGTGCGACGTCTCCTGCATGGGTATGAACGCATCTAGAAAGAAACGCCTACTGGTGTTTCGTTTTCCTACCGGTTGCTCTCTTTAGATAAACGGAGAATGAGTGGGGTAGATGGCGAAGTTCAAGTACCTCGGAGTCGTGTTTACTGGTAATGAAAGATTTGAGGAAGAGATCGACCGGCGGATTGGAGTAGCCATTGGCGTTCTGCGTGAACTGGCCCGATCCATTGTGACTGAAGCAGAGCTCTGTCTGAAAACTAAGCTCGCGGTATTGAAGACGATCTTCATCCCCATGATTACCTACATACATACAATCATGAGTCGTGGACTGTGACTGAAAAACTTCAATCCGAGTACAGTCGGCTGAAATGGAGTTTCTAAGACGAGTCGCTGGTCTTATGAGTCTCGATTTGGTCCTTGAATATAGACATCGTCGAGAGCCCTGGAGTATAGCCGCTGCTTCTTCAGATTGAGACGTCACTACTGCGGTGTTATGGGCATGTGTTGCGAATGCGTCCAGGAAAGAAGGAGAAACAGCTATTTCTGGCCCAGCCGACCGGTAGATAACCCAAGGAACGGTCAAGATTTTCCTGGTGGAAATATATGGAAATATGTGCTCCAGATTCCAGTTTTCTTCTGCCGAATCTCAGAGTCTGCTGCAAGGTCGGGAGCCTTTGAAGCACTGTCTGCGTTACCGACCCGAAAGTAGAAGCGGTCATGGAAGATGAAGATTTTTAAACCGCGATGTTTTCGGTTTAGTGAAACTGTAAGTTGTTTAAGACTAGTGATATGT